GCAAGCCGATTCCTCCTTCACTCTTCGGGTAACGAGTTGCCACCGAGCCACTAGAGTAGAATGGCATTTATTCACATCCCCGAGTCCATAGGAAGTTCGACAAATGTTGGTGATACAGGACATGATCGAAGTCGGAATTGGGAAGATATCCAGTCGAACTCGTATCAACCCGACCAAGACAGGTTCACGGTAGCTCAAACCGACCAACATATGAGAGATGCTTCCCCGACCAAGTGTGAATAGCAGACTCTAGGCTCGAAGTAGAGGCAAGAAGCGGCTCACTAGCGGCCTATGGGGACCGAGGGGAACCCCTAGATAACGAAAAGGAAAGACTCTTTCAATGAACCCCGTATCTTGGAGGAGGGCTAGCTTTAGGCGATTACCGATGCCCCTAAAGTAGATAGAAGATTTAGTTAGGTTTATGGCAAGCCACGATGTGTGACCAAAAGTATTCAACTGCCGAGCCAAACATTGAACGGAAGCTCTATCCCCTATACTCGAAGCATAACATCATCGACAAAGGCAATGTGAGTAATTTGATGAGGCTCACATTTGGGATGGAATCGGAATTCATCGATGGTCGATACGTGCTAAAGCATATGAGAAAAGTATTCCATACAAGCAATAAATAGATAGGGGAAAGGGGTTCCCTTTATCGAATGCTCGCTTTACTCGGAAAGAAACCAAATAGGCTACCGTTGATCGTAATTGAGTAGGAGGATGACTCCATGGAAGACATTACCTAGTGGACAAAGGGGCCCACTTAACGGAGTCAAAAGCTTTCCCGAAATCAACCTTCAAAAGACAAGCACGGAGAAGCCTACTTTATACAATACCGACGACGGAGCTCCCGAAGTAGGTGGGTGTTATCGGACATCATCCGACCTCCCAAGAAAACATTTTGCATGGGACTAACAATATCTTTTAGAGCCGAGGCTAATCCGAAAGAGATGAGCTTGGAGATCACCTTGTATACGATATTGTAGCAAGAAATTAGCCTATAATCCGAATGAGTCGAGGTATGTGCCGATTTGGGCACCAAGGCAATGATAGAGTGATTGACCTCGCTTTAGGAGTCTCCCCAAGGTGAAAAAAATCCTTAACCGCAGAATAAAAATCATCACTAATGATTCCCCAAGCTCGTTTGAAAAACAATGAAGTATACCCATCCGGGCCGAGGGCTTAATCATTGTTAATCCCAAATAGAGTCTCCTTTATTTGGTCATTAGAGACAGGAGCTAGCGAGTTTATCGGAGGTTGAGGGATCAAGACAAGGCCCGTTAACGACAACTGTTGTGTCTAAGGGGAGAGTGTCCCGAGAGGAGCCGAGTAAATCCCTATAATAGTCAACAAACACGACCCCAACAACGAGAGAGAGGTGGTAACCTACCTAGAGTGGTCTTGGATGGAGGCAATGAAGTTTCTCCTGTGACTTTGGCGCATAAAAGTGTGGAAGTACCGGCTGCCCTTGTCACTCTCCTCTAGGAATTTGCACTTTAACTTTTGGCCAAAGAACATATTCTCGGCTAATTTTAAGCGAACCAAATTCGAGTCTCAAATGCCGCTCTTCCGCTAAAAGGGGAAACTATCCCTGTCGGTTTGGACGACTGCTGGAGGTTCGTAAAGTTAGTCATTACACGAGAAACCCTTTCGGAGATGTGGCTAAAGTGAACCTTATTCAAGGTTTTCGGGGGCCCTTTCAAGGCCTTCGGCTTTTTTCACAACACATACATCGGCTTGCCCCCGAAGTCATCATACCGGTGTTGTTCCATCGTTGAGAGGGAGTTGTCATGTTTTGTCCACATTTTGAAAAATTTGAAACAAGTGCGGCCGGGAGGGGACTAGGGAGTAAGCTATACCAAGGCTTGGGCATGGTCGAGAAAGCTCTAGGAGGTCCGAAGTGGACGAAGTAGGGCTGCTGGAGAGTTGGCCAATAAGAGTTGGTTAGGACTCTATCAATCTTAGTCCGGAATCTACCGTTATTCCATGTAAAGTGACTACCCGTGTAGGGAAGGTCGCCGAGGCCCGATCCAAGCAACAAGAGCGAAAATCCGAAGTCTCATAGGATGTGACATCCACACCATTGTGCTTGTCGGATGGTGAAAGGACTAAGTTGAAATCCTCTTAAATAAGCAAGGACCATTTATAGTCCATCTACAAAGATCGACCCACAATTCTCATCATCGAATAAGGTTATTACAACCATAAACAAAGGTAGCTCGAAAGCCCCACCGAGTGGACAAGGTTAGTGATACGGACGTTCAACCCTTGAGCGGAGACATCTAAAAGATCAATTAGAGCTGTTTTTGGATTCCAAAACGGAATAATACGGGTATTGGAGGCCACCGAAGCATTGAAGAGAAACCGCCGGTGCTTCAACCGAACCTTGTGCATTTGGGAAAGCTTGGGGAGGCTAAGCTTGGTTTCAACAAAAGCACGGACATCCATCTTTTCCTTCGCATGAGGCTCGTAACCTCATGCTATTTTAGGGACCGTTAAGGCCCCTAACATTCGAAGTGAAGATCAACATAATGCTATGGAGGGGGTAGGAAGTCCCTTATCCCCCGTTTAGCATTGCGGCTTCGCTTCTAAGGGCCGCCCTTAGGAGCCATCCTTAGCCCCATTAGATAACTATTCAGCTCGATAACCATGGCGACCATATCCATACCGAGCTTCATTACAAGTAGCGAGGCCATCGCTACTTTTGGTGAGATCGCTTTGGCGAACAGGTCCCGCACGTGAGGCCCGTCAAGCCCACCTAGGCCGGCTTAAGCCTCGTCAAAAGTCCCTTGATCGACTTTGACTCTAGGGCCAACACCCAAGGAATCGATGCTTAGTTCGACGGTGAGACTCGCCCGTTGTGAGCACCCGAGGTAGGCCCAAGAGTATCCCGATGAGTGCCCCGAACCCGGATTTGCGGGTTCTATAGAGAATGAACGAAGCATTCCGCGACGCCGAGCATTCTACCGAGGCTTGGCTTTGGCTTTGCCTTTAATTGTCTCCCACTCCCCAAAGCCTACGACGAGCTTTCGAACTCATAGGATCAAATTGAACATTCTAAGCCAAAGCAACGGAGGCGCTAGCAACCCTAAGCCCCGAGCATTGGAGGCCTACTTTGCTCGGCTCGGCCTTTTTGGCATGAACCATTCATAGCCTTTTTAGTAGGCGAGAGGCACCTCGGTCGAGCCTTTGCCACAAGCGACAATAGAGTGCCCCAACACACGACAAACCTTGCAATACGTGGGTAGTGTTTCGTAAATGACACGGCTGGAGCGAGTGGAACCATTCGGAAGCCCAACTTGGACCACTCGGGGCAATTCCCGTAAAATGTTAAACTCAACCAATACCCTAGCATACGAAATCCTCTCCATAGAGGCGAGTCAATCTATCACATTGAATGGGCTTCCCTAGCATGCTAGCAATTTTCGAAAGGCATAAAAGAGACCGGCATTTTAGGGGAGGTTAGGAAACTTTACCTAGACCGGTATCGTCGACATTTCCTCACTTGAAAAATCGAAAAATTCGGGTATAGGCCTCGAGAGCAGAGGTCCGCCAAAAATCAAGTTAGGGCCCTCATTAAGCACGGATGATTTAGCCTCTTCAAAGGTAAATTTGTAAACCGACCAACCAGAATCATAGATAGACAATGAGGCCTCACATTTCCAAGTACTAGCAATAAGGCCATTCGGTGCCCCGTAGCCGGGAGACTTTCCGACAACATAGCCAACTAGACATTTCTTCCAAATTTTACATTTAGGGTCATCATCAAGTAGTGTGCATGTTTTAGAAGCGATTATGGTAGTGAAGTGAGTAAGTTTCGAGCAAGATTCGGTGCTACGATTGCTAGCAAATAAGGCCCTCCATTTTCTAGAAGGGTGTTCGAGTTATCTAGAAGTGCTTGGAGGTGGAGATGGTGTTCGCCCCTCGAGGCGGGAGGTGAAGGGCAATCCAATCCGGAGGGGGAAGAAAAAGCTTCACTAGAGGTGGAGGGGGAGATCAACATCCCCGGAGCTAGAGTCGCAGTCGTAGCTCGGAATCTAGCCTTCTAATCACCATGGGCGGGAAAATCGGGGGTGCAAAATTTTGAGCGGGAATTTGAATTTTCGGCTAAATTTGAATCTTTCCCCAAACTAGCGGTTTCGGATGCCAAATCGTCATCACTAGAGCATTCCTCAACTTCCACTTGGCCGAGGGAAGGAGGTTTACCAAGGTTTTTAGACCCAACTGACCATAGTTTGAAGTTTTCGATTTCTATGAACGATAATAATGACGGATGGAGAATAAGGAGGACCGGACGAGGTCTGCTAGGGCCGGCACTAGTTCCGGTAGATCACTCCGCCCTCTTGTTGGAACAAGTCCGGAGGCGCATTTCTTCTTCTTTTTAGCCATAAAACAGCTAGGAGAAACAAACCAAGGAGGGAGAAGAGAGAAGAAGTCGAGGAGAGAGGAAGGGCGAGAAGGGGACGGTGAACGAAGCATAGAGGGAAGGGGAAAGAGGAACGAGAGGTAGAACGGGGAAGGGCACAAGAAGATGAAGGTATGAGTGGAAGAGGAGGGAGAAGAGGAACGAGAAGCGGCAGCACTCGATCGAAAGGAAAATTCTTTTTTAGAGGAGAGCATCTCTCTCTACTTTATCTCTCCAAGTGCACACATACTAAGAGCAACTAAGAGCTCTTTCTCTTTTTTTTATTTAAATGTAAGTGTATAAATCAAAGAGGAACTAAGCTAGAGAACCAACGAAGTAGCTTATACGGGATATACAAAAAATTAGGAACAAGCTCTCAAAAAACCCAAAGCAAAAGAGCTAGAAACAAAAGGTTGTTCAAGGAATCGACGAGTGAAGATTCCAAGAAAAACCCCTCAATATACTTGAACTAACTAACTAAAACCATGTACGGAGGCTCAACGAGCATACAAAAATTTAGCTAAAAGGCCACAAGGAGTAATCTAACAATTTACAAAACCCGACTATACACACAGAGTAAAAAGCAAAAGCTCGGATGGAGCGAGCAGCAACGGAGGCTAAACGGCGCCGAAGGCGGGAAAGCGAGCCTAGTAGCGTCAAGGTAGCCATGCCAAGCGAGAACGCATCCGAGGTTAGCAGAAGCCGTGCTATCGAACAAACAGAGCTAGGCAACCCGGACGGAGGCGAATCCACGAGCCGGAGGAGGAAGGCACAAACTAAGCGGACAAACAAAGGAGGCGACGAAGCGATAGCACCGAGTTAGAGCCACCGCGATAGAAAAAACAACAGAACACCACACCAAACCATCAATCACGAAATAATGTCGGCTAAGCGGCTGCAGAGAACTCATAAGGCATTAAGAGCGGAAAGCTTATCCAACGTCCGGAATAATAGGATCCATTTGATGATAATAAAAGATCATGAAAAACAAGATTTGGAACCTCCCGAGGGTATCATCAATCGATCTATGGGTTTCCTCAAAGATCCTCCTATTTCTCTCCCCTCATATGAGGTAGACGAGTAATGCTTAGTGAAACCCCGTTCATCCGTGAAACCAAGTTTTTTCGTCGGGTAGATAACCCTCGAACAACACTCGGAAAAGTAGTCATACCTCTAGACGGATGTAACCACCTGTTTGATCCGAGACCACGAGAGACCAAGACAAGCTACAAGCAAAGAAGAGATGGTTGTGAGACTCCTCATCTTGGTGACATATGAGACACGAGGGATCCTCGGGAATATAGTGAAGCCGATCTTTGGTTCTCAACTTGCCCCTAATAGCCAACCGGAGAATAAAAGCATGTCGTGGTAAGGACCATTGTTCCCAAACCACACGGACCTAGTTGACCTAGACCCCTTTCGATCAAAAATGCTCATAAGCATGCTTGTGTGAATTTCTCATCCCCGACTTGCCAACTATGCATCATATCAATGACCCGCGCACTATCCCCAAACTGTTGGACAAGCCGACCTTTTAGAGCAGATGATTGATTTCCACAAAGGGGAGGCATGTTTGTGGGCTCGAGCCTTCCATACCAAATGGTCGTGAAGATAATAGTGATTGACCCACCGAATCCAAACCGAATCGGACTTGAGATGAATATCCTAGAGCCGCTTAGCAATGAAAGAAGCATTGCGAGATTTGATATCAAAGAGCCCTAGACCACCCTCCTCCTTTAGGAAGCATATATGCTGCCAAGAAACCGAGGCGATCTGAATTTTTTAGCATCTCCCAACCAAAGGAAGCTCTTTGCAGATGGTGATAATGCTAGATATAACCGTAGAGGGAAGGGGAAGATAGATAACCAAAGCTCGGATCATGCCGATCAAAGCCGACCGTAGGAGCTCCAATCTACCGATAAATGAAAGGTGCTTCCCCATCCAACCTTGAATAGCACCCTCGAGCCTCTAAAGAAGCGGGTAAAACTGGCGGCCAATAATCTATGCGGACTAAAAGGGACTCCTAAATATCTAAAAGGAAAGGTACCTTCACCGAATCTCGAATCTTGAACAATAGCAATTCTCGGACCGTTGTTGACTCCCTCAAAATAAATAGAAGACTTGACAGACATTAGTGACCAAACCCAAAACCGAGAGCTCTTTCTTTTTTTGATCAAAATGTAAGTATGTAATCAAAATATAACAAGTCGAAGAACCAACAAGAGTAGCATATACAAGATGTACAATAAGTTAGGAACATACTCCCGAAGAACAAAGCAAAAGAGCTAGAGCTAGATGGTTGTTCGAAGAATCCGACATTGGGGATTCTAGGAATAGCCAAACAGGTGATCATGTACTAGCTAACCTGGAACCATTAACAAAGGCTCAACGAAGCATACAAAAACAATCGTTGGTAAGACCAAAAGGAGTTTCGGCCGAACCGAGAGCTCTTTCTTTTTTGATTTAAATGTAAGTGTATAAATCAAAGAGAAATTGAGCTAGAGAACCATCGAAGTAGCTAATACAGGATATACAAAAATAGGAACATGCTCCCAAAAAACCCAAAGCAAAAGAGCTAGAAACTAAAGGTTGTTCAAGGAATCGATAGTGAAGATTCCAAGAAAAACCCCTCAATATACTTAACTAGCTAACTGGAACCACATACAAAGGCTTATCGAGCATACAAAATTTTTTTACTAAAAGTGATCTAACAATTTACAAAACCCGGCGATACACGCAGATTGAGAAAGCAAAAAACTCGGATTGGAGCAACGAGCACCGAGGCCGAACGAACCCGAAGACAGGAGGGCGAGGCTTAGCCGCATCGAGCTACCAACCTAAACGAGGACTCGGTAAAGGTTAGCCGTCGCCGAGTGACCAAAACAAGTAGACCATACAAAGGCGAATCCCCGAGCCGGAGGAGGAAAGCACCCACTAAACGAAGCACGAAAGGGGTAGACGAAGCGGGAACGACCAAGCCGAGCCATCACGGCGGAAAAAACACCGACGACACCAAAACCATCAACCACGGCCCAAGTGTCGGCCACGACGGAGAGCTTGCAAGCCTTCGAGAACAAAAATCCTACCTAACGACCAAAATAGCAGGATCCTTGTGATGATAATAAAAGATCATGAAGAACGGGATTTGGAACCACCCGAGGGTGTGGATGATCGATCTATGGGTGTCCTCAAAGATCTTCCTATTTCTCTCCCCCATATGAGGTAGACTGTAATGCTTAGCGAGACTCGTTCATCGTTGAAACCAAGTTTTTTCATCGGGTAGATAGTCCTTTAACAACACTCGGAAAAGTAGTCATACCTCGAGAAAGATGTAACCACTCGTTTGATCCGAGACCATAGAGACCAAGACCAACTTGTAAGCAAATAAGAGATGATCGTGGGACTCCTCATCTTGGTCACATAGGGGACATAAGGGATCCTCGGTAATATAGTGAAGCCGAACTCTAATTCTCAACTTGCCCCTAATAGCCAACCGAGAGAATAAAAGCATGCCGTGGTAAAGACCATTGTTCCCGGACCACGTGGACCCGGTTTACTAAGACACCTTTCAGTCGAAAATGCTCGTAAGCATGTCGTGTAAAGTTCCCATCCCCATAGTTGGTAGAGGTCTTTCTTTTTTTTTTGATTTAAATGTTAGTTTATAAATCAAAGGGAAATGGAGCTAGAGAACCAGCGAAGTAGCTTATACGGGATATACAAAAAAGTGGGAACGAGCTCCCAAGACAAAGCAAAAGAGCTATAAACTAAAAGTTGTTCAAGGAATCTAACGAGTAGAGATTCCAAGAAAAATTCCTCAATATACTCGATCTAGCTAATCGGAACCATATACAAAGGCTCAACGAGCATATAAAATATTAGTCGAAAAGCCAAAGTGAGATATTAAAAAATTTACAAAAACCGAGTTACACACGAAGATGAGAACACAAAAACCCAAAAAAGCAAGTAGCAACTAAGGCTAAACAAATCTAGAAGGTAGGGAAGCGAGCCTAGCGGCTCTCGAGCTATCATGCCAAGCAAGGATGCGAGCAGAGTTTAGCTCGAGCTAGGTGACCGAAACGACCGACCGGACGGCCCATTCGGAGGCGAAAAACACCAACCAAGCGGACACACAAAAGAGTTGACGAAACGAGGAGCATCCATGCCAAAGCCACCTTGGCGGGCAAACTACGGGACTCACCACACCCAACCAACCAACGGCCACAACACTACTACCGACCAAGCCGTAGCAAAAAACTCACAACCACCGAGAGAGGAAAGCCTAACCAATATCAAGAATAGAAGGATCCTTTTGATGATAATAAAAGATCATGAAGAAAAGGATTTGGAACCTTCGAAAGTGTGGGCAAGCGATCTATTGGTTGCCTCAAAGATCCTCCTATTCCTTTCACCCCAAATGAGGTATACAACAATGCTTAAAGAAACCCCTTTCATCCCGGAAACCAAGTTTTTCCATCGGATAGATAATCCTCTAACAACGACTCGGAAGGGTAGACATGCCTCTAGTCGGATGTAACCATCTGTTTGATCCAAGACCATAGAGACTAAGACTAGCTACAAGCAAAGAAGAGATGATTGTGGGACTCCTCAACTTGGCGACACGGGGAACACAAGGGATCCTCGGGGATATAGTGAAGCCGATCTCGGATTCGCGGCTTGCCCCTAATAGCCAACCGGAGAATAAAAGCATGCCGTGGTAAGGACCATTGTTCCCAAACCACATGGACCTATTGTACTCGATCACCTTTCGATCCGACATGCTCATAAGCATACTCGTGTGAATTTCTCATCCCCGGCTTGCCAACTCGCATCAAATCAATGACTCGCACACTATCCCCAATCTGTTGGACTAATCGGCTTTTCGGAGCGGTGATGGATTTCCACAAATGAGAGGCTTGTTTGTGGGCTTGAGCCTCCCACACCGAATTGTGCTAAAGATAATAATGATTCACCCACCGAATCCAAACCGAATCAAATTTGAGATGAATAACCTAAAGCCGCTTAGCAATGAAAGAAGTATTGCGAGATTTGATATCAAAGAGGCCCAATCCACCCTCCTCATTTGGGCGGCAAATATGCTTCCAAGAAACTAGGGAAGTACTAAATTTTTTAGCATCTCCCAACCAAAAGAAGTTCCCACGGATGCCGACAATGCTAGAAATAATCGTAGAGGGAAGGGGAAGATAGATATCCAAGATCGGATCATGCCGATCAAAACGGATTGTAGGAGCTCCAATCTATCGACAAAAGAAAAGTACATCCCCATCCAACCCCGAATAGCACCCTCAAGCCTCCGAAGAAGCGAAGAAAAGCGGACGGCCGATAATCTATGCAGATTAAGAGGGACTCCCAAATATGTAAAGAGAAAGGTGCCTTCACCGAAACCCGAATCTTGAACAATAGCAGTTCTCATACCGTTGTTGACTCCCCAAAAATATATAAAAGACTTGACAGACATTAGTGACCAACCCCGAAACCCCGCTAAAAGCAGACGGTTGGCCAAGCAAACATTGAACCGACTGCCTATTCTTACGAGCATAAAAGAAGAACATCATCGATAAAGGCGATATGGCTTATACATTGATCCTCACATTTCGGGTGAAAACCGAACCTCTCTCGGGCGATGGCAACCCTAACCATGCGAGAGAAATACTCCATACAAATAATGAAAAGATAGGGGGAAAGAGGGTCTCCTTGCCTCAACCCACTCGCCCGGGAAGAAACCAAAGAGCCTTCCATTCACGAGTTATCAAGAAAGAAGTAGACCCCACACAAGCCGTAACTAAGGTCATGAAGAAAGGTGAAAACCCAATTTGGAGTAAAACGACTCTTAGAAAATTCCACTCGAATAGAATCAAAGGCCTTAGAAAAATCCACTTTAACCAAACATCGTGGAGAGGCTCGCTTCCTTCCATAAAGCCGAAGGAGCTCCTGCACAAGGTGAATATTATCCGACATTTTTCATCCCTTAGGAAAGCATTCCGCATAGGGCTTACAATGCCTATCAAAGCCCTAGCAATTCGGAGAAGAGAGGCTTGGAAATGACTTTATGGATGACATTACAACAAGAAATAGGTCGAAAGTCGATCAAGCACGGTAGCATGAGAAGATTTGGGAACCAAGGCTATGATGGAGTGATTAACTCGCTTCAATAGCTTTCCCGATGAGAAAAAGTCCCTCACGACTAGATAAAAATCAGCACCCATAATGCCCCAAGTCGTTTTATAAAAGAACGAGGAGAACCCATCCGACCCCGGAGCTTTAGCGTTATCAATACCAAAAGCTGCCTCCTTAATCTTATCATTAGACACGAGTGAGAGCGAGCATGTCTTGGGTGACTTGATCTAAACACGGGCCCGATGCAATGACATCCAAATCCAAAGGCAATATATCCCTAGCCGAACCAAGGAGGTTCCGAAAGAACCTTACAAATTCCTCTCCCACGACATCAATCGAAGTAGTGACATGGTCATTACGACCACCGAACTGCGGCTATGAAATTTCTCCTGTGATTCCGACCCATAAGAGCATGAAAGAATTGTGTGCCTCGATCACGGTCTTGAAGGAACTTATACTTTAGCTTTTGGCCAAAGAAAGATTTTTTCGCCGCTTTGAGGTTGAGCACCTAAAGCCGTAGGCTTCTCTCCTCAGCTGAAAGATGAGAGTTAGCTCGGTCATTCCGTAAAGCTTTTTGGTTGAGAAGGAGGTCGGCTCTCGCTCTAGCAACTTCGTTCAAAAATATGACTAAAATGAAACGTATTCAACTCTTTCAAAGGCCGTTTCAATAATTTTAATTTCCTACAAAAGATAAACATAGGGGTTCCCGGATGTTAACTTGCCAATGCTGCCCAACAATATGAAGGAAACTATCATGAGAAGTCCACATGTTAAAGAACTTGAAGCAAGTCGGCTTAGGGGAGACCGGGTATTCGACTAGATGGAAGTCGCAACATGATCGGAGAAAGCACACGGTGTGTTGTAATGAACAAGAATAGGTAGCCGAAGAGTGGCCCATATGGGATTAGCTAGAACTCTATCAATCTTTATCCGGACAATCCCTCTATTCCATATGTAATGGCTACCTACATAGTTTAGGTCACTCAAACCCAACTCATTGCGGCAATCATGAAAATCCGAGGTTTCATAGGTAGAGACAGACTACCCCGTTGCATTTATCATCCCGAGAGAGAACGGAATTGAAATCCCCCAAAACAATCCACGGACAATTCGGATCCCACCTATGAAGGTCATCCCATATAGCTTTCTCGGTAAAAATGGTATTAAATGTGTAAACAAAAATGGCATTGAAGTCGTCATCGCTCAATAAGACTAGAGATTCAAACATTCAAATCTTGAGGAGAAACATCCGGGCAATCAAGCAAAAGCTGTCTTGGGGTTCCAAAAAACAACTATACTCGGCATAGGGAGCAACCGAAACATTGGACACAACATTCCAATCTTTAAGCGAAGTTTATGCATTTGGGCAAGTTTTATCGTGCTAAGCTTCGTTTCAACAAAAGAACACACATCCACCTGTTTTTTTTTCATAAGGCCCGTAGCCTCATGCTCGCTTCGGGGGTTGTTAAGGCCCTTGACATTCCAGGTAATATATTAACATACAAGAGATTGGGTGGTGGGCACTCGCCTATCGCCACCTCTAGTTGTCACATCCCCACTCTTAGTGGTCACCCTCTTAGAAACCCCGTCCCGACCAACTCCTCTACTAGGCGGATGGGTAGCCCTCCGAGCAATAGAAGGTACCAGCTCATCAATAATCGCCACGCCAAGGACCTCTTCCATTCTCTCAAGGGTAATCGGGACACTATGACTAGCAGCCCCAGTAGATGGGCTACCTAGCCACCCCCGGCCCTCCTCAATGTCACATAATGCACCACCACCAGCTTGCCTTAGCTTTTCCTTTACCAAGTCTCATGTGCGAATTTAGAGTGGAGGTTACTGGTCGAACATTTCGGGACCCATTCCGCACCGAAGCAGCAGTATCAATCCGGCTTGTTACGGTAGAAGCATTCGCCTTGGAAGAGATTGCTTATGACCCGGCTCGGCGATAGCAACTCTGATCTATAATAGATTGGGTCGACCCTCCGCCCTTTCTCCTAACTATTTCCCAACCAGCAGAATTTCTAGCAAACTCAAAATGCATGGGGTCATATCTCTCGGCTTGATCACGAGCAACGACTGTAACAGACGGCCCAAGCCCGGCAACCATGCTAGCTCGAACTTGATTACCTACAACCACAACATCGGCAGTCCTTCTCTCTATCTCCACGGATGCGGGGGACATAGCTTTGCATCCGGAAGTCGCATGGCCTAAGACTTTGCAATGTTTGTAGTGAAGAGGAATCGTTTCATAGATCACGAGTTTGGAGCGACTTGGACCCATTCGATAAATCAATGCTCACCACCCCCGGCGGGACATCCATGATATTCATCTCAACAAGGACTTGAGAAAAAGAAATTCTATCCATTGAGGTTGTCGATCGATCACATTGTATCGGTTTGCCAAGCAAACTTGCTATTTTAGATAGGCTATCCGTGGACCAACATTTTAAGGGAAGGTTGGGGAATTTCACCCACATAGGAACCGTTGACATATCCCTAGGAGAGAAGTCAAACAATTCGGCATTAATTTCAAGATCAAGGGTCCGCCATAGATTAGATAAGGGCCTCCATTCAACACCTTCGAGTTTGCATCCTCCGAATCAAATTGATAAACCGGCCATCCGAGTCATTCAACGTCAACTTAGCTTTACATTTCCGGGAGTTGGCAATAATAGCAGTAAAAGCCCTATAATTAGGGGATTTACCGATCACATAACCCACCAAACATAATTTCCACTCATCATACTCGTGAATCGCGACAAGCAAAGCACATTTCTTACTTTCCATGATAGTGGAGAAGTGTGTGAGTTTCGAATAAAAATTAGAACTACGGTTATGCACAAATAAATTTCTCCAATTAAGTATTAGGGGATGATCACTTATAAGGGGTAGGGCCGGCGGTTGCCTCGTACGCAATGTCGGCGAGATTGAGGGCGAGCTTCCTTGGAAAAGCTAGCTACATTTGCACCTATCAATTCAGCGAGGGCCGGCATTGCACAAGTCGGACTCGAAGAGGTAAGTCGGCAAGCTAAGTGAGCGACGGGGGAACATCAACATATACAACTAAACATAGTCTCTCATTCCGCGAAGGCTCGGTCGAGCCTCTATCAAACGAGTGGAGGGCAAGGGACCGGGCATCCGGAGTTGCTTGTTTACACTTGGATGGTTGCCCAAACGCAAGTCTCATCTCGTGCCGAACATAATTAGCCACTCGTAAACCGACTTATTGAGCATCAATGGCTTCAATTGAGCCCAAAAAGAAGAGGGCCAAGAAGAATTTTGATCGAGAGGTAGGTTTCGCTTCGAATCCGAGGAATCAACTTCGCCATAGTGAAATCGTCATCATCCGAGCAGGTCCTCAACCGTCATTGAGTCGGGAGCGGGGAGTAGGGATAGGTCGATGGGACGGTCCAGCGAGCTTAGTTAGGAACCGAGTGGGAAGATGAGGAGTCCAAAGAATTCGGAGAAGGAACATACGCTAGAGGAGCTTCAGTGGCTATGAATGGAGTCGTATAATCTGTCTCGATGAAGGTTGTGATGGTCGATCGCAGATTTCTTTTTCTTTTTAGCCATAAGAGAAAGGAGGAACACGTGAATGGGGGAGGAGAGCGCGAATGGTGAGCAGGAAAGGGAGAACATATGAAAGAGAAGATTGGGTGAAGAACAGGATGGAGAGGAGGGAAGGCAGGGAAGTAGGCCTAACGGCTCCCGAGTCGCCATGCTAAGCGAGGACGTAACGAGTTTAGGCCAAGCTAAGTGATCGAAACAACCCAACCGGACAACCCGGTCGGAGGCGAAAAACACCAACCAAGAAGACACACGAAGGTGTTGACGGAAACAGGAGCATCCATGCCGAGCCACCTTAGTGGGCAAACTACAGGACTCACCACCCCAACCAAGAGCCACAACACCACTACCAACTAAGCCATGATAGAAAACTCATAGCCACCGAGAGAGGGAAGCCTAACCAACATCAAGAATAGCAGGATCCTTTTGATGATAATAAAAGATCATGAAGAAAAGGATTTGGAACCTTCGAAAGTGTGGGCAACCGATCTATTGGTTGCCTCAAAGATCCTCCTATTCCTCTCCCCCCAAATGAGGTATACATCAATGCTTAAAGAAACCCTTTTCATCCCGGAAACCAAGTTTTTTCGTCGGGTAGATAATCCTCTAACAAAGCACTCGAAAGGGTAGACATGCCTTTAATCGGATGTAACCACCTGTTTGATCCAAGACCACGAGACCAAGACCAGCTACAAGCAAAGAAGAGATGATTGTGGGACTCCTCAACTTGGCGATATAGGGAACACAAAGGATCCTCGGGGACATAGTGAAGCCGATCTCGGGTTTACGACTTACCACTAATAGCCAACCGGAGAATAAAAGCATGCCGTGGTAAGGACCATTGTTCCCAAACCACATGGACCCATCGTACTCGATCACCTTTTGACTTGAAATGCTCATAAGCATACCGTATGAATTTCCCATCCTCGGCTTGCCAACTCGCATCAAATCAATGACTTGCACACTATCCTCAATCTGCTGGACTAATCGGCTTTTCGGAGCGAGTGATGGATTTCCACAAAGGAGAGGCTTGTTTGTGGGCTTGAGCCTCCCACACCGAATGGTGTCGAAGATAATAGTGATGCACCCATCGAATCCAAATCGAATCGGACTTGAGATGAATATCCCAAAGTCGCTTAGCAATGAAAGAAGCATTGCGAGATTTGATATCAAAGAGGCTCAATCCACCCTCCTCCTTTGGGCGGTAAATATGCTTCTAAGAAACTAGGGCGATATCGAATTTTTTAGCATCTCCCGACCAAAGGAAGTTCCCGTAAATGCCGACAATGCTAGAAATAACCATAGAGGGAAGGGGAAGATAGATATCCAAGACTAGATCATGCCGACCAAAACGGACCGTATGAGCTCTAATCTATCGGTAAAAGAAAGGTGCTTCCCCATCCAACCCCGAATAGCACCCTTAAGCCTCCGAAGAAGCAAAGAAAACCGATTGACCGATAATCTATACGGACTAAGAGGGACTCCTAAATATGTAAAGGGAAAGGTGCCTTCACTTAAACCCGAATCTTGAACAATAGCAATTCTCGATCGTTGTTGACCCCCCAAAATATATAAAAGACTTGGCGACATTAGTGACCAGCTTCGAAATCTTGCCAAAAACGACCGATTGGCCAAGCAAACATTGAACCGATCGCCTATTCCTGCAACGATAAAAGAAAAACATCATCGACAAAGACGATATGGCCGATATATTGAGCCTCACATTTCGGGTGAAAATTGAACCTCTCTCGAGCAGTAGCAATCCCAAGCATGCGAGAGAAATACTCCATACAAAGAATGAAAAGATAGGGGGAAAGAGGGTCTCCTTGCCTAAACCCACTCGCCACGGGAAGAAACCAAAGAGCCTTCCGTTCATGGCTACCGAGAAAGAAGTAGACCTTACACAAGCCATAACCAAGGTCACGAAGAAAGGCGAAAACCCATTCCGGAGTAGAACGGCTCTCGGAAAATTCCACCGAATTGAATCAAAGGCCTTAGAAAAATCCACTTTAACCAAACATCGTGGAGAGGCTCGCTTCCTTCCATAAAGCCGAAGGAGCTCCCGCCCAAAGTGAATATTATCCGACATTTTTTATCCCTCTGAAAAGCATTCTACATGGGGCTTACAATGCCTATCAAAGCCCTAGCAATTCGAAGGAGAGAAGCTTGGAAATGACTTAGTAGATGACATTACAATAAGAAATAGGCCAAAAGTCGATCAACATGGTAGCATGGGAAGATTTGGGAACCAAGGCTATGATGGAGTGATTAACTCGCTTCAACGAACTTTTCGATGAGAAAAAGTCCCTCACAGCTAGACAGAATCAGCACCCATAATGCCCTAAGCCATTTTATAAAAGAGCGAGGAGAACCCATCCGGCCCCGGAGCCTTAGTGTTATCAATACCGAAAATTGCCTTCTTAATCTCATCATTAGACATAGGTGAGAACGAGCATGTCTTAGGTGACTTGATCTAAACACGGGCCCGATGCAATGACATCCAAATCCAAAGGTAATGTATCCCTAGCCGAACCAAGGAGGTTATGAAAGAACCCTACAAATTCCTCTCCCATGGCATCAACTAAAGTGGTGACATGGCCATTACGACCTCGAACTATGACTATGAAATTTCTCCCGTGATTCCGACCCATAAGAGCATGAAAGAATTGTATGCCTCGATCACGAGTCTTGAAGGAACTTATACTTTAGCTTCGGCCAAAGAAAGATTTTTTTGCCGCTTTGAGGTTGAGCAACCGAAGCCGTAGGCTTCTCTCCTCGCCTAGAAGATGAGAGTTAGCTCGATCATTCCGTAAAGCTTCTTGGTTGAGAAGGAGGTCAACTTCTGCTCTAGACACCCGTTCGTAAATATGACTAAAATGCAACGTATTTAACTCTTTCAAAGGTCGCTTCAATAATTTTAATTTTCTACAAAAGACAAACATAGAGGTTCCCCGGATGTTAACTTGCCAATGCTCGCCCAACAATGTGAAGGAAACCGTCATGAGAAGTCCGGATGTTAAAGAACTTGAAGCAAGTCGGCTTAGGAGGAGACCGGGTATTCAACTGGATGGAAGCCGCGAAGCATGATCGGAGAAAGCACTCGATGTGCTCGTAATGAACAAGAGTAGGTAGTCGAAGAGTGGCCCGGATGGGATTAGCTAGAACTCTATTAATCTTTGTCTAGACAGTTCCTCTATGCCATGTGTAATGGCTACCTACATAGTTTAGGTCACTCAAAGCCAACTCATTGCAAGCAATCACGAAAATCCGAGGTTTCATAGGTAGAGACAGCCTACCTCGCTGCATTTATCATCCTAAGAGAGAACGGAATTGAAATCCCCCAAAACAATCCACGGACAATTCGGATCCCACCTACGAAGGTCATCCCATAAAGCTTTTCCGGTAGAAATAGTATTAAACGCATAAACAAAAGTGGCATTGAAGCTGTATCGCTTAACAAGACTAGAGATTCAAACATTCAAATCTTGAGGAGAAACATCCAGGCAATCAAGCAAAACTTTCTTGGGGTTCCAAAAAACAACTATACTCGTCATAGGGAGTAACCAAAACATTGGACACAACATTCCAATCTTTAAGCCGAAGTTTATGCATTTAGGCAAGTTTTATCCACTCATCATACTATGAATGCATGAGCAAGCAAAGCACATTTCTTACTTTTCGTGATAGTGGAGAAGTGTGTGAGTTTTGAACAAAAACTAGGACTACGGTTATGCATAAATAAATTTCTCTAATTAGGTATTGAGGGATGATCACTTATAGAGGGTAGGGCCGGCAGTTGCCTCATGCAATGCTCGGTGAGACCTGGAGGGCGAGCTTCCTTGGAAAAGTTAGCTACATTTGCACTCGTCAATTCGGCAAGTGGCCGGCACCGCACAAGTCGGACTTAAAGAGGTAAGTCGGCGAGTTAAGTGAGCAACGAAGGGAACATCAACATGTGCAACCGAACGTAGTCTCTCATTCCGTGAAAGCCGAGTCGGAGCCTCCATCAAATAGGTGGAGGGAAAGGGACTAGGCACTCGGAGTTTCCTGTTTACACTTGGATGGTTGCCCAAACGCAAGTATCCTCTCGTGCCGAACAGAATTAGCCACTCATAAATTGACTTATTGAGCATCAATGGCTTCAATTGAGCCCAAAACAGAAGGGGGCCCGGAAGAATTTTGATCGAGAGGTGGGTTCCACTTCGAATCCGAGGTATCAACTTCTTCCATAGTGAAATCATCATTATCCGAGCGAGTCCTCAACCGCCACCGAGTCCGGAGCAAGAGTAGGGACGGGTCGGTGGGACTTGCTAACGACTTGGTTAGGAATCGAGTTGGAAAATGAGGAGTCCAAAGAATTCGGAGAAGGAACATGTGCTAGAGGAGCTTCTGGGCTATGATTAGAGCTGCATAATCTGTCCCCGATAAAGGATGTGATGGTCGAGCAGCAGATTTCTTTTTCTTTTTAGCCATGAGAGAAAGGAGGAACACGTGAATAGGGGAGGAAAGGGCGAATCGTGAGCGGGAAAGGGAGAACAGGGGAAATAGAAGATTGGGTGAAGAACGGGATGGAGAGCGGGGAAGTCGAGGAGTGCCGAGCAGTAGGTTGCCAAAGCTAGAGGGAAAGATCTCTATGGGAGGAGGAGAGCACCTTTCTCTTCTTTCTCTCTCCTAGGCACACACTTACCGAGAGCTCTTTCTTGATTCTATTGGTGGTGGTGCATGGTCGTTCTTAGTTAGTGGAACAATTTTTTTGGTTAATTCCGTTAACGAACGAGACCTCGACCTGCTATCTAGCTATGCGGAGGTGACCCTCCGCGACTAGCTTCTTAGAGGGACTATGGCCTTCCATGCCAAGGATGTTTGAGGCAATAACGGGTCCGTGATGTAACCCCCGTAAAAACCCTTATCCGTAATGCGACGTGTATTAGAATAATTCTATATATATGTATATTAAGGGTAAGTATAATTATCATTTCATCATGAGAAATTAACGCTTGAAATATGTGATTTATGTTAAATTAAAGTTATTGTGCTTAAGATTAATGGTTTAATTATTAAAGAAATCAAATATGCAAAATCAATGTTTTAAAGACTATATTACTGCTCGAGTTTTGTGTGAATTATTTGAGGACTTTAGGGTAATTTTTGGGTCAACCTTAAAGAATCTATGTGTTGAATAGATCTCGTATAAAATTTTATAATATTTAGACCTATACATTAAGAGTTATACCAATTATAGTGAGGGTTGTTTCGAAATGCATTCTGCTAAAATTTTGGGAGAAGAATCGCCCGAATCTTGTGAAATTTTTTTCTATGTGTTTACTAGCTCTCTATAAAATTTCATAAATTTTTGATACATATAGAAAGAGTTATGCACATTTTAGTATAGATGGGTTAGGAGGAAACATTGCTTGGAATTTTAGGGGAAAAGAAATTCCGAATTTTAAAAATGGAAATTTCTGAATTTTTGTGAAAGAAAGTAGTTTTAGTTACTTTAATTAAGTTAATGATTTTAATTAGTCTAAATTTTACATAGACACCTAAGTAAATGCAATAAATGAATTTAATGCCAACTCACCCATTATGGATTCCAAAGCGACCTGACTTTCCTCATGACTCACCCATAACCTTTACACCTTATCCCATTAATTTCTAACACTTGTAGCTGAATTAAAGTAAGTATATACATATATAGCACGTGTTAAAATGGGAGAAAAATTTTAGTAACCAAGTAGGTACCGAAATTAAGAGAGAAAAGGCAAGAAAGAAAAGAGAGGAAGAAAAACGTGAGGAGAGAAAGGAAATGAAAGAAAAAGAGGAAGGGAAAAAGGAAAGAAAAAGAGCTAACAAAACTATAATCAAACCTAAAAGAGGTAAGTAGGTTTCATTTTTTTTTACTGATTAATGTCTTAAATTATTTTGTTTAAGTTATTTTGTTAGTGTTTATTTCATGGGTTGTAATAATTTTCAATGGTTATATGCTTGATGCTTAGGATAAATCTATGTATGGATGCCTTGTTGTGATGATTTATGATGTTATGATTTTTTAAAAAATTTCCAAGTATGTGGTGATGGGTTGGATTGAACTTGGACTAAATTTAAGTGAACTAAAACATGTTTAAAATTGGCTTGGAATGAACTAATAAACTAGTGTTGATAAGGAGTAAATTCTGTCCGAATTTTGGGGTGTATGTTCAAGGATTTTAGATCGATTTTTAGGTGAAACTTAAAGCATAAAATCTGTTCACCTATGTTTCAACTAACTTCTTTTAAAATATCTTGGTCATTGGATTCGTGTACAAAGAGTTACACCCGATTTAGTATGGATAGCTCTAGATAAACTACTATTAGGCAGATTGTTCCCTAAGTTTCAAAAATTTGTAATTAATTGTGTACTTGGTATTTAGACCTAATTTTTGGACATATTATAAATAAATATGTCTAGTATTTAAAATAAAATGAGTAAGATTTAATTATGTTCTGAAATTAGAAAATTATTTACTCGATTAGGAGTTGCCCGAGTAATAAACCCTAAAACCAAAAAAATTAGACTTTGACAAAATTAATAGGTTTGGAATAAACTAAATGAGCTTGGACTAAATAAAATAGAATTAAATAGAGTCAATGGACCTAGGATAAAGTTAATGGGCTCGGATTAAAGTAAATGAACTTGGACCTTCTTTTAAATGTTAACGAAACTAATTAACAATATTAATGAGCGGAGGTTGTGTTCCCGCTATGATTATCATGATTGGTATGTGAGCAACGGGTAAATTCTGAGCGTGGGTTGGACCATGAGTATGGCATAAGAATGAAGGGTTGGTACCCAAATTTGGTTGAATGTGATTAAATATGTCATCACGTGCATCATGTGCATAATGGGTGGTTTAAGACAAGTCAATTGATTAAGAAATGGTTTATACATCTAGGTTTGATAACCTAACTAGAATAAATGAGTATTAGTAGTCTAGTACTCTAGGATGTGTGTCCGCACTATTAGACGATGGATTTTCGCTAATAGTAGTTACAACGAGGGATAATTCCGTTGTAGCGAGAAGATGATCCGAGGATCATCCGGATGAAATCAAGTCGTGTGCTTGCACTTCGTTAGACGATGGATTCTCGCTAATAGTAGTTACAACGAGGGATAATTCCGTTGTAGCGAGAAGGTGATCTGCGGACCACCCGGATGATAAATAGAGTAGATCGACTAATACCCGTGGTACCCGAGATTAAAATTTATGAGTATGGTGGGAAGTCAAAACAATATTGCATATCACGTGCATCACCCCGTTTACCGAGCTTCGGCTCACCTCGTTGTTATTTTTTTTATGTCTTGACGGAAAAAGGACAAGTTGGTACGGATTCGGTCGGCTCCTCCTAACTAGCTCATGTGAGGCACCATATATTAGTTTTTATTTTGTCCGTAAATTTGTGGTATGGAGTTTGTGAGAAATTGAATATCGCCTATAATGTTTTATTAATGTATTTAATTATGTTATGTAAATTTTATCTTAAGGAGTTATATACGTAATGTACTTGTTAAAGTCCTAAGAATATCATAAGAAAACTACTTAGAGTTTAGGGTATGTCGGCGTAACGCACTTCGTCTAGTACCCTACTTGGGTAGTAGAAATATGATCGGGGCGGGGGCGCTACATGTAATGCCCTTAGATGTTCCGGGCCGCACGCGCACTATACTAATTTATTCAACGAGTCTATAGCCTTGGTCGATAGACGCGGGTAATCTTTGAAATTTCATCGTGATGGGGATAAATCATTAGAATTGTTGGTCTTCAACGAGGAATTCCTAGTAAGCATGAGTCATCGGCTCGCGTTGACTATGTCCCTACCCTTTATACACACGTCCATCGCTCATACCGATTGAATGGTTCGGTGAAGTGTTTAGATCGTGATGACATGGGTGGTTTGCCATCAACAACGTCACGAGCGATCCGATGAACCTTATCATTTAGAGGAAGGAGAAGTCGTAACAAGGTTTCTATAGGTGAACCGAGTGGAATGATCATTGTCAAAACTTGCACGGTAAAACGACCCGTGAACTTGTGGTTGAGCATGCTAGGGTTGCGGGGGCTCTTACCCCCGCGTCCGCAGGGGCCGCGGAGGGGTGCATCTACACCCGACATATCTCAAAAAAACCCCGATGTGAGAAACGTCAAGGAACTAGAGTACGAAGAGCACTCCTCCGTCGTTGAAGGGTGCTCTAAGGGTGCGTCTCTAATTCATGATAAGATAAACAACTCTCGATAATGGATATCTTAGCTCTTACATCGATGAAGAACGTAGCAAAATATGATACTTAGTGTGAATTGTAGAATCCCGTGAGCCATAGAGTTTTTGAACGCAAGTTGCACCGAGGCCTCATAGCTAAGGGCACGTCCGCCTCGGTGTCACGCATCGTCGCCCCCAAACCCCTCTCGGCTAACGAGGGTGGGGGTGGATACTAGTCTCCCACATGTGCTTTTGCTCGTGGTTGGCCCAAAATTGAGTCCTTGGCAATGGCTACCACGATGAGCGGTGGTCGAGAGAACCCTCGAAAGTGGTCGTGAGCATGCCCCGTTGTGCTTTAGGATATCCAAGACCCTCGAGCATCATCGGCTTTGCTAGGATGCTCTCGCTACAACCTCGGGTCAAGCGGGACTACCCGTTGAGTTTAACCATATCAATAAGCGAAGGAAAAAAAACTTACAAGGATTTCCTTAGTAACGGTGAGCGAACCGAGAGGTGCCCGACTTGAGAATCGAGTGCTCGTGGTGTTTGAATTATAGTTTGGAGAAGCATCCTTAGCAACGGACCGGGCCTAAGTCACCCGGAAGGGGGCGCCGGAGAGGTGAGAGCCCCGTCATGGCCGGACCCCGTTACACCACGAGGCACTATCTCGTGAGTCGGGTTATTTAGGAATGCAGCCCTAATCGAGCGATAAATTCCGTCTAAGGCTAAATACGAACGAGAGATCGATAAGTGAACGAGTACCATGAGGGAAAGATGAAAAGGACTTTGAAAAGAGAGTCAAAGAGTGTTTGAAATTATCGGGAGGGAAGTGGATGGGGACCGACGATGCAACTCGATCGGATGTGGAACGATCCCGGTCGATCCGTTGATTGGCTCGAGGCGTGGACCGATGCGGATTACGGTGATAGCCCAAGCTCAAGCTTTTGAAACGTTTACGGAGACGCCGTCATCGTAATTATGGATTGTAGCACGCACCGTCCCGGCGTGC